GAGGCAAGAGGCTGGTTGTTAAAGTAGGGGGGTGGACATCTCCAAAAACGCCAGACCTTTTGTACAAATAGGCAATATCTTGATAAATCACATATTTGAGGTTAACCACAACTACATTCTCGACTAAAAACATCTTAAAGGTTTATTTTGTGTCACAGAAACATTAATATATTCAAAATGTAAGAGTTTGGCCCTACTTTTGATTTCCGTTCCAAATGCATGCAGGTGAAGCATCCTTGATGGGTGGAGCAGGAACACAGTGGACTTTTAACTGGAGCTGTACTTGTATGTTTCACAAGTATGCATGTTGAGAAACAGCCATGAAATGCTAGCAAGCACGTTACAGCAGTTTTTAGCTAACCTGGTTGTTAGTTGGCAACCAGGTACCAGACCAGCCCCAAGGGGTTTGAATGAATTAGCTGTGCGTATCCCCTTTAGCTCACTAGTACTGTTTGCAGTTTAGCTGTGTTAGCAGTTTTTTTTAAAGACTGCACAAAGTCAGATTTTTTTCCCAACCACACTATTCGCCCATGAATTGACTCGCCTCTTATGTTAACTGTATTTTTCCTTGACAGTCTGCAATGCAAACAAATGACCTGAAACCCAAAGCAGCAGAGAGCTAGCGAAGCTCATCTTTCTTTCCCAATAACCCTGTCATTAGTTAAACCCTATCTGAAGCCACATATGCTTCAGAGCCTTGGTGGGTCTCTACTCTTCTCATGTTATCTGAAAGCACAGTTATGGTCCGTTCCATTTGAAGTTCAAAGACAGAATTTTTTGAATTCCTAGTCAGAGCAGGTCACCAGCCCCCACCTAACAATGAAGACAGTGGTAGAAAGCTTTATTTGTAAGTGGCTTAAAAAGCCAAATGGGGAGAACAGACCAGACCCTGTGCAGGAACGTGCAGAAGCTTTGATTTTAAGCACAAAAACCAAGCCTCACGCTGTTTAGCTAGTGAATTCTACCTTTCTAAAGAGCAAAGCAAATCCAGTTTTTTCGACTTTACCACTGGAATTCGCTTATCTTGGGATGACATCGTTCTAACATCGGGCTTCCCAGTTAAATGGAACGACGCATTAGTGTGTTGTGACCTCTGACCTTTTCCGCCTCTTGCTGTTTTCGTCTCTTCTCCACGGCCGCCACCTTGCGCTGCTGCTCCTTCCTCCTCTGCTCCTCCATCTTCCTCCCTCTCTCCTCTGCGCAGCGTTCCAGTTGCTGTTGAACGCGACGCTCTTTATCCTGCAGCTCCTCCGACAGCTCTGCGCACACACCGGGGTATTCGTTATTTACTTATTTAGAAACTCAACTTCTACTGTTTCCTCCATAACATTTTAAGGGAAATAATGCACTTCTTGATCCACTATACAGCACACTGCGTATCACAGGAAAGCCTCCAACAATCTGTGTGCGTTTGCCAGTGACAGATGAAGCAGACAGACCACACTCAGCTACACCAGCTGGACAATCGCTCATACCTCGAATTTTCTCTCCGTCGTTGCTTTGCTCTTTTGCTAAATGCAGCTGGGAGCCTGTAAAAGGAAAAATTAAGTGATTAGTTTGGCCGCCTGCAGGTTCTACATATGTTTGATATCTTTCATGTTTTATCATGTTGCTTTAGCTCCACCCCTACATGTAATCACATTCACTTTGTTTGGAATTTTAACCACACAAAAACACAATCTGAAAAACAGTTAAGACAAACACGGGAATGACTCAAAAATAATACTAACGTTAGTTTGCATCTATCTATGTTTCAGTGTCTAACCGGACGCTGACTCTGGATGGCATTTACTTAGACTTCCAATAAGATTATGAAGAATCATCAGTCATTTTTTGACCAGGATATGTCCTTCAACAAACACATATTAAATAAATAAGTGTACAGAAGCTTGTTGTCAAAATTTCAGGTTGCTATCTTAAAAATTTCACTCAGTAACTCTTATCTTCAGGTTATTTTCCCAAGTTGAGTTATCTTCTCAGAAGTTTTTGTTAGTAAGCAGAAATCCTGAAATAATAACCCAAAATTTTGACTTCTGAGGGGCAAAAGAACCTTTTTGTTTTATTCCAAGGGCAGAAACAAGCTTCCACGAATATGACTGTGTCATTAACTTTTGTTTAATCTCTCTTGCAGGTTTTTGTTTTGCAAAGTCATTCACTTCCTGTGCTTGATTTTTATCAAAACAGAGTTCTTCCTTCCTGCAGTCACCAAGTGCTGCTCATAGGGGATGCTGTGATTGTGCAGTTTGTTTTCAGCTCACTAAATAAAGCCCCTGGAGATGACTGTTGTTTTGAAGTGGCGCTCTATAAATAGAACTGTCACCTTCTTCTTTATTAAAATACTGGGAGTATGTAAAAGGCTATGATGAGATTACACATTTACCTGGAGGGCTCCTGTGATTGGATGGTGATCGAGAAGGAGATGCGTGCCTGTTGGCGAGCAGTGTTGGCGCAGGAGGAGGGACCAGCGCTGTGTTTCGGGATAGAAGAGTCAGACATGATTCACACTTGGCCGAGAAGCAAAATAAAGCTAAAAATGTAAAGCCAGAGCGGCAAACGTGACCACTCTGTCAATATGGAAGAGCAGGGATTAAGAAAGCTATCAGTCACAGGGCGTCCAGATGCAATACATTTTCTGTCAGTCACTGCTTCGCCTCTGGGGGTCAGATGTCAGAGCAAGACCCCTGAGTGTAACCTCCGGCCTTCTTCCTGCTCCTTTTTCCCCTCTTAATCTGTCAAACTGACAGCCTGAAAGCAGCCTAAGGGCAACTATCCACCGCGCTCTGTGCATTCAATGGTTTTTTTTAAAAACAAACAGTGGTCTTAACATACAGGCATTAGATATGCAAATACATGCAAACATGAGCCAAAAGTCCCCTCTCCCACACTCTGTCTCCAGTGTACATTACATCACATGCAGAAATCTGCTGTTTGTTTAAGAGGATGATGGAGGACTGTGGATGGTTAAAGAGCTGACAGCCCATAAAGAGGGATGGGTGGAATCAATATAATGTAGGATAGCAAACATAATCAGTTAGAATATTTATGCTGGCCTATCATAAAATATACTTCCCAAGACGTCATTTGATGTGTATCACTCACGTAGACCTCTATATATGAAATGCAACAACATATTTGTACAACGCAACATGCAAAACCATGCCTAAACATAAGAAACATTACACGTCGAAAATGTGTTTCCAGATGCACATATCTAAAGTAATTCTTCAGTATATGCGGATGTAACGCATGACTCTTTAAAGGTCTTTAAATGAAAACGCAGCGTGAATCAGTCCTATCCAGGTTAATGGTTGTGGGTTAATGTTTGTCCATGGGCGTTTCTGAGCGTAGGAAGATTACCCAGCCAATAATACACATTTAATATAAGATTCATAAATAGGGGCGTATATTTTTCTCACCTGTCATGTCAGCTGGACCTGGAGCCACCTGGGTCATCGAGTGTTTTCCAGTAGAGGGACGTGACAAGAGCCAGAAAGACGTTAAACCCGCGGTACCCCACACAGGAGAGCGCCGGTCCGACACAGTGACTCAGGAGAAGTCTAGGAGGATGCTAGGAGTATGGAGGCACAGGGAGGGGAGGGGAGCAAGAGTGGATTTCTATTCGATGCTATAAAACGTAATCTTCATGTCAGTCCTCGTATATACTTCTCTCAGATAAACCAGAACCGATACCGCCAATGTAGCCATATTTAAAGCTTCAAATACAAGGGTAGCTTCAACGAAACGTCGGGACTACTTCATAAAATAAAAATAAAAACATTGGAATGAACGAAAAAGATTAAACATTGCTCTTTGTGATACTATAAAAGTATCTAACGTGTAGTAAAAAAAATAATATTACATTTTTCCAGCTTTTTGGTTTAAAACGGAACCACGAACCTGTGACCGCTTTACATTTGGCTAATTTACATATTAATGCGCACACTCGCGCTGTTATGCGTCGCTTAGCAACCAGGTAGCACCTGTCGCTTGCCCAGAACTATAAAAGCAGCTTGGCGGAAGAATAAATCACTGTAAAGCAGCTTTACAACATGTTTATGTCACTTACTTTCATTTTTGTAACTTTTCAGATTAAATCCGTTTGTCGTCACAAAAGGACACTCTCTTCCTCACGTGGCAGTAAAACTAGCTGAAATTGGCTCGTGACAGGCCGCACGTGCCGGCCCCAGCGATGCAGTTACGTCATAGATAATAGCAAACCGTGAGGATGGCTGCTGTAAATGTGGGTCAGTGCTGCTGTTTTCAGATCAAAACACACACACGCTTACTGAGTCGCCTCAGATGGCAGCGCTATAAATAACAACAATGAGGTTTTTAAATAAATCACAAAGAAAAAATTAACGTGTGGACCACAGCCTCTCAGATACAGATGTTTTTGTGTGATAACTGCAGAAATCCAACGAACTAAACCAGCCGATGTCTTAAAAACGGTCAAAATCCGCTTCGGTGTGCATTCAAATTATATCATATTACATAAACCCAATAATGTGGTAAAATGGACCTTTATGAAAAACCTGCAGGACATAAGACACAAACACACACAGTATAAATGCAGTATAAACAGATACCAAAGGTTCTGATCTGATTAGGTACTGTTTTTGCAAGCGCTATGCCAGAAAAAGCCAGCATTACTGAGCTTCTTTCCTTGGTCTTTGTTCTCCCCAACGTAAACATTTAAGAGTAGAAATAATATGAAATAAGAACTTAAATAAGGGACAGAAGGACTGGTCAACTTTAAATATAACCATTTGGAGACAAAGAGCAGGCACACTGTGAGCCTGAGGCTGAAGGATTCACCACAGCAGGTCGTCACTTCCTGCACAGCCTCTCCACACTGTAAGGACAAAAATACCAGCTTTTGTTCCCTGCAGCCCTCAATGTTCTCAGCTTAAAGTGCCCAAGAGCACAAGGTCAGTTTGCTGCCACCATCAGACCGGCACAGGAAGTGCGTTAGGCGCCCAAAAACCACGATGCCAGGTCAGTGGAGTTAAGATCTTTATTGGAAACCCAGCCTTCAAACATCATAGTACATTTTAATTTTTTATTAATTCAGTTACAACAGCAACAGGCCCCACGTCGGCTAGAGCAGTGGTTCCCAAACTGAGGTGCTGGGCCTCCTCGGGGACTGCGAGGAGGGGAAATAGATATAATATGCTGCAGATATAAATCACTGATTTTTCTAGAGGTTCTATGCAATGATAAATGGCTGTGCTGTGAGGTTTTACTGGTTTAACTGGTGGGGATGTCTGCAAGGGGAACGTTTGGGAACCGCTGGTCTAGCGACCGGAATTGCGAGCAGCAAAGAGTTCAAAGAGAGGACAAGGAAACAACAACAGAAAGACAAACGAGGGAAGTAAACAGAGAAATACATCTGAGTCTTCTTTTGATTTTAGGGGAGCAGGATTGCCTTCATTCAGCCTGGGTGTAAACTAAAAATACGAGCTTATGTGAGCAGGCAGGGCGTAAAGGAAAGGGAGCAAAAAGCCACCGTGGAGGTCAACGCATTCTTTCTGCCATCAACAAACAACGATAAACGATCAAGGAGGAAAAACACAAACTAGTTAATGTTTTTATTGGCGAATCCAGAGATTCTGTACTCGTTTGTAAATTCCACAGTGTGAAATGAATATAAATACATTTTTAAAAGATGACATGCACTAGGTGTGAGATATTTTGCAGTCATGAGACAATGAGTGTGTTTTCTGCACAGCTGTGTGTAAAATTAAGGAGGAAACAAAAAATCAAAACTGAGATGGCAGATTTGCCTTTTTCTGTTGCAGCTGGAAGCAAAGGGTAAAAATCTAGAAATGCTCCAGATGTTCACCTTACACGTATGATGCAGTCGATCAGCTCAGATTCTCCACAAAGGTGGGGAAAGCAAACTGTCGGCGTCATCATCATCTTCATAATCATCATCCTCAGTGGTCTCCGTCTGATAACTGAGACAGTCTCTAAAGCAGCGTCTTGTCTAATAAATCAAAGTACTGATGGTGATCTCCCCCCGTGTGAAATGCACTTAAAGTTCTCCAAACAACAAAGATGTCTACTGATGATGAACAAGCTGGATTAAACATACTGTATATTAATAAACTGTATTGGACTGGCATAGGCTGATCTTAATAAAAATAATTATTTTCGGTGCGCTGTGTTCGGCTCGAAAAATCCCAATCGGAGCATCTCTAACAAAATCCCACCTTCTCCCTCCAGTGGCAGGATTTTAGATCTGCAAAGAGGAAGAGGAAACATTTGAGTTTGTTCTGCACAATCTGATCCCAGCGTGCACGCAGTTTAGTTATCCACCATATTTGGACCAAACAAACTACTTCTACAGTTTATATCATGTTGGGGGTTAAAGTGCAACCAAAGATGGTGAGGATCATCAAATATGTAGAAAATCTCTCAAATGCATTAATCTAAAACACATGTGAAAAAAAGCCAATATAAGGCTGTTAGAAGGTGCGAGACTCCAAAGTCACTTAAAAACAAGTTTACGCCCAGGCTCGCTCAGCTAAACTGTCTCGTCAGAACCATCCTCACATCTCCTCTTTTTTTTTATTGTTTTAAATCAGAAATGAACTTAAATACGACCAATTATGATTTATAAGCTTTTTGTCTATAAAATGCAATAAAATGTGACCACCACAACTTTTTGGATGACACAAGCTCCAAGACCAAACTTGTTTAAGAGCAAGCAAAGCTCCACTGTGTCTCAGAAAATAAGGTCACTGATGGAGATTTAGAACTAAAAGAAGAAAGTAAAATTATGCTGCTAGTTCTTTATGTTTAAGTCAAGGTGTTGTACTGGCTTCAAGACTACTTTTGGGATTATAATTCACTCCTGTGAAGAATTAAATTCAGGTACTTAGAATATATAAAAAAAATATTGTTCAATTACGCCAACTTACATCATCAATGTCCTCATCGTCATCTGCAATGTCATCGAACTGAATCTCATCGTCGTCTCCAGGTCCAAATGTGTCTGTCTCGTTGATTTTGGCTGCAGATGAAACAGAAAATGCATCAGAAACATCTCACGAGTACTCACGCCGACCCCAGAGTGAATCTAATCACGCCACAGGGTCGCACTGTGCAGTTATAGATGCTCTGAATGATCACCATCACCATCAGGGAGCAGTTTGGAAATGAGACTGTCACCACTTCTCCACCTTGCACGTGATTTATTAGTGGAGAAACCTTGAACTTTTATTTTGAAAGTTCATGCATGGCTAACCGGGTAGCCCTAACGCTTCCTCTATTATTTTCCTGCAGTTGGTTGGGTCATCACCACGGTGCTGCTACTTTGCTCAGTCCCAAAATTCAGTATGTTTGTGATGTGCAATGAGGCCCTCTGCTGATCAAAACCTGCAACTATTTTCCACCTTGGATTTGCAAGAAAACAGAATCCTACTTCACCTACAGGTCTGACACAATAATGTTTGTGGAAGTTCATGGAAGTAAAACAGACACCAGACAACCAGCTGCAGTAACATTAACACAGCAAGTTTTTAAAAAAACGCCTCGTTAATGTGACACGTGCAGCGTAACTCACCGTGCTCTGGCAGCTCTCCGTACGCTTTCAAACTGCGAGCCTCGTCTGCGTTGTACTTAAGGATGACGTCAGCTTTGTTGTCCTGGAACAGAAGTTGGGGTTGAAGTTTGTGTTACTGATCACAGTAACTTAAGATTTTTTAACTAAGCCCCCCTACAGAGCCCCGTAAGTAGGACTCTCCATGTAAACACAACTGTGAGCAGTTTTCTGTTATTTGTGGCCATCATAAACATCAACATCTCTACTGATAAAACACAAATAAGTTTAGGAAAAGTAATTCAGGCTGTTAAAGCTTCACGGTGCCCTCCCAGTGACTGACAACAGTATTAGTGGTCTGATCTGAAGCCTGTGTGAGCCACCAACACACCTGATAATCCCTCAGCCCGACCAGGATGATGTCCGACGTGTTAATCCAGACCTGGAGGGAAAACAAAACAAAGCAGGGATGAGTGGCACAGGGTCACGCTGCACTTTGTGACCCGCACACACGCTGACGGCGGCTGCCTGAGAAAATGCTGACGCGGCGTCACACCACAGAGTTTCCTCTGTGTGTGATGGTGGGAGAAGGCGACAGAAGGTGCTCGGGTCATTCCTACCTTTTTCCGGAGTTTTCCTCTGATGTGGCAAAGCCGCTTGGTTCCATCGAAGCACATCGCCTCCAGACGTCCGTTCCCCAACATTTTAATCACCTGAGCGTATTCTGAGACACAAGAGAGCAAAGGAAGCTTAAATCAACCCGTGATATACTCGCCTGTAATAAAGGGCTCATACACTGTTCAGAATAGGAGGAATAAACCATTATGAATCTATTTCAGCTGCCTTGGTGCAAATGAAAGTGACAGATGCACTGGATGAGACAACAAGACAACCCCCACAAAGGGAATGGCAGGTGGTGCCCACAGACTGCTCGCTCTTCCTCTCTTCTGACTGATTTTTCTCTAGTTTTGCTTTTTGTTAGTGTCCCGGTTACTGATGGTTGCCCGTGCAGTCCAGATCCTTCAGGATCTCCATGCCTGCGGTTACAGGAAAGTTTGCAGAGTCTCCCAGCAGAGTGCCAAGATTTGGAGTGGACACCAGCAGGAGCAGAGCTAGACAAAGCTGTAGATAACAGCAGGAACAGTATGTGCTGCTTTGCAGGTCACTCCTGTGCATGTTTCTGAACAAACTGTTCACACTGAGCACATGTGACAGACGTGAGAGTCTGAAGCCTGAAACACACTCCAGAATGACTGCAATCCTATCCTGGTGCTTTGGGTTCGTCCTGGTACAGAACAGTTCTTGAATGATGAAGGCAGAACTGACCCACACCTTCATCAGAACCTCTGAAGTGTTCTGTACCCATGCTTCCAAATAGCACCAGACTGTCCAGGACGTCCCTGATTCTCTGATCCAGGTCTGGTAGGATCAGTGACACATGCACCGAGGCTGTAGGGAGTGGATCCAGCCATAAATATTTGTGAATGGCATAATGACACAAGATAGATCATCCAGTGATTGCAATGTTTAACTTTAAATTTTAATTTGTTTTTAAACCTGCTCCTCAGAAGGTTGTTACATCCGGATTTGAGCAGTGAATTTTTGAGCAGCTCCAGCTGGACCCTGACACTTCTAAGCTGAAGATCCAGTAAAGCCAGTAAACCCCTCAGTCATCCAGCGCTCTAAACATCACTGCTCTTAAATCCTTTCCTTCTGATAAAAGGGAGTTTTTCCTTCCCACTGTCACCAAATGTTTGTTTATAGTAGGTCATGTAAAAGTTGGGGTTTCTTTCTAATGCTGTGGGGTCTTTACCTTAAAGCGCCTTGAGGCAACTGTTGGCTGGGGAGCTGGTGTGTTTTGACTGTCTGCTCATCAACTACAGCTGATATTTTAAATCCTCACAGCTTAACGAGACATTTTTTTAAGCAAATATTTGATTTACCATCAAATAATTGTCACATATGCAAGCACAGGACTGAAAACTTCAAGCATTATTTTGTTTGGATAAAACTGATTAGATTAGACTCAAAGATTACATTTCAATCTTAGAGATTTAAGTAGTTCTAACATGAACGATGAGCTATGACACTCGTTTACAATTCCTAAAACTGTGCCCAACTTACAATCGGGATTTTTTTTCCTACTTAAATTTATTTTTGTCTTTTTGTATTCATCCTGTTACTTTCTAAACGTTTAGATGATATTCAGGTTTCCCAAAGCATTTTAATTTTTTTATATCATGTCTTCATTTTGATTTCAAGTTATTGAGATCATTTTTTTATTTGCAGATGCTAAAAAAAAAAAAAAAAAAAGTAAAAAGAGACATAATATAGTGAAACATAGCTCTGTGTAACTCTGTTTTACAGCTGATACAGTAAACTAACACTAGAACAAACTTTTATTATTACTATTTAAATAACTTTTCTTCTTCATACACTGACCACTACACTTTTAGTATTTGATGTGTTTATTTTAGGGAGGCACTTTTTATTCTGTTTTATTGAATTTAACGAGCTCACTCTACAGACCCAACTTATCCAATAATATGCAGCTTTTTAAACAGCACTTTGTTTCATTCATTTAAAAGGTTTAATTATTTTTTTTTTACATTTATTACATTTTATTTTGTATTTTACTCATCACTCTCCTTTGTGTAACTCAATTTTATTTTCCCATAATAAGAAGAAACACTGTATTTTAACTGAGACATACTTTAAAACCTTAATAGTTCACTCTTCATCCCACTCACATCAAACACACTAAATTACTGTTTGTTAAGGACATGCAGTGACACTTAATCCTAGACCTTATGAATAAGTTTATACTTCGTCCTACTCCTTTTTGAACACGTAAATGCGTCAGTGCTATAATGTTGTCAGTGTTTTGTTTACCTGACAATTTTCTGTAAGGCGCTCCTTTCTGTGAACAGCATTATATTGTGCAAGCAATACTTGCATACTTGCTTAGCTCGGAGGTGAAGGCAACTCTTCTAACCCACAAACAGAATAAACTGAACCCACACTCACCCTGTCCATCCTCCTTGAACACCAGCTCCCTCTTCTCAGACTCATTTTCGTTCTTTCCACGTCGCCGATTTTTACCTCCTTTACCTGTAAAAAGAAACAAGCAGAAATACATTTGTGGTTTGTGTCAATTTCACCGTTTTGTTTTTTTAAACGTACATATAAATAATTTTGGCGCTGAGTGGAGTTAAATTTAATCAAGCTTAAGGCAGCTTTTTGTTTAGCAACGGAACAAAAATGACTAGAAACACCAGAAACTTCTGCTAAACAAGACAACACTGACACCTTGTTTTAAGTACGTGTGAATGGTTCAATTTCAGTTATCCAAACTGGCGTTTTATCGTGGTACACAGCAGAGATGCCATTAATTTCAACGCCTGTGTGAGCTTCTCTCTGAAAGGGGAACCGGACAGAAACAGGAGCTAACCTTTATGTTAAGGGTCGTAACATCGTCCAAACGCTACAATACCATCTGGAGAATAGTTTAGAACCCAGTATAAAGACACTCTGGCGTTTTAAAGGGCTGAATATTGGTGGAAATTGGAGGCGGATATTACGGGCCGGCCCGGGTGGGGTAGGTGGGGTAACTAGGTAGAAGCTAGCTGGTTAGCTGTAATAGTTAGCAGCGGACTACACCAGTAATCAGGTTAGCTCAATCGTAAAGGAGAACTTTATTAGATTTCTCCTAAATTCACAGTTACCCCGCATAGAACCAAACAGAGCGGGTAAACATCACGTATACCACGCTAACGATCGTGTAAACGAGGCTCCGCGGGGCTAACTAGCAGCAGCCGGTCGGTGTCACGTTTTAGCTGCGTGTGTCCGCGGCGGGCTCCGACACAATCAACTGAAACTCGTCGCTAACGGATGGCTTCCCGCTAACCTTACCTTTATTTTTGGGCATATTCTTTCACGCCTCGGTCACGGTAGTTCCGCTCGGTAGAAATGACCAGCTGTTAAACAATAACTGTTCACGAGAAGTGAGCGAATGCAGAGAAAGCACAGATCTGACGAGATGCTAGCTACTCAGCGTCGAATCACTCATCAGAAGTGCGCATGCGCAGACTAGGACATTCAAAACCTCAGTACTTTATTGGAACAGGGCATTGTTACAGAGACAAAGCGCTTCTTTCAGTAAAGAAGCAACAGTGACGAAATTCACCTCTAATAAATGTAAAAGTACCGTAGTAGTAATTCTTATTGCTTATGTTCAATTTTTTACATTATTATCATACAGTTAAAAAACATTTTTATTGTGGCTGTTTTATTTTCTTCAGCTATTAATGTATTGATTTATATTCACATTCTTACGTTTTATTTAATTTTATAAAAACATTATTTCAATATTTTTCTTACATGTACCTTAACCTGTGGAGCTTCTTCACGAATTAAATTATGATTTTTTTAAAATGATATTTTATTAAATTTTATTGTATTTTATTTCCAATCTTCTTTTAGTTTTTTATTGATTTTTTTAATGTTGAGGGCTATTCTGTTGTTTTCTTTACTCATTTTTATTCCATTTTAATTTAATTGTTATTTTTAAATTTACCCCGAGCTCCTTACTAAATTACAAATGTTTCTTTTTTTATATTTATTATTATATGACATTTTAACTTGTTAAGCTCATTTTATGTGACTTTATTTATTAGTTTACACGTAACTGAGTCCCTTCTAGGGTAACTTGTATCTTATCGTACAATATCGTTCTGTTGTACAGTTTTTTACTGAACTGTTTTTCGCTGACTGCTGGTACTTTTAAAGTACATCCAGGGCTCCAGGGGGCGCTCTGTCATGTGTTTTCAGCTCGTTAGTTTGTCCTGAAAGAAAACACACGTCTTTTTGTGTTTTCTTTTTGTGGCTCAGCTAGCTTTCTGCAGGAAATCTGACCATCTGCATCGATTAAAGGTGAACGATTAGCTGTACCTGAACATTTGTGCATGCAGTTCAACTCTTTTCCTTTAATGTTAAAGAGCCAACTAGTTCATAGTGGAGAAATCTGAACCTCAGAGCTGCCCCTATCTACTGATTAGCTGTTCGTTGCTAAGCTAATGGTTGTGATGGCTGACTTCGGCAGCAGGGTCGTGCTGAATGTTGACTCTATTCTTGCTGTTATTTAAAAGAATAAACAGAAAAGACTTGAGCAGAAAAATAGGTCGTGGCGGATTATTTATTAGAGAAAAAATGTTTCGTTAAAATGTGAAGTATCGCTGCTCACGTCTCACTTCTACTTAAAACAGAACATTTTGAATGGAAGTCTTGTTATAACAGGAATGATCAAAATAAACATTTAAACGTGCACTTATAAAAAAGGAATACAAAATTATAATGAAAAATTATAATAGTAGCTAACATAATCTACATGTATGTGAAAATTAAAATATTATATTAGAAAAAATGGTCTAGAGCTGTGCAGTTACATAAATAAACAGTAAAATACTTACTGTAATCACAAATGATTATTTGACATAATAAACACAATTACAGATTTTGTAAATAATACAAGTAGTTATTGTACATGTATATAATAATATAATAATTGTATTATGAACAATAATTCTCTTGTTTATTGTCTATTTATATGTTAATGCTTACCTGCATCAATGAATGAGTAGCATACAAGCATGTACAGATAAAAACTACGAACAAATACCTGGACATGTAATATTAATATTCATTAATCATTAATTAATAATATATTTCCTGCTGAGTGGAACTGCTTTTACTCAAATTCAGCTCCATCACCGTGCAGACCTACATCTTTCAGCTGCTCCATCCCACCCTATCCCTTTGTGTCACCAACTGCCTGCATGTCCTCCTCCACTACATCCATGATTCTTCTCTGAGGTCTTCCTCTCTTCCTCCTCCCTTGCAGCTCCATCTTCAACATCCTTTCTCCTCCTTTGCACATGTCCAAACCACCTCAGGCTCGTGTGTCTAACTTCTCCTTCTGATCTTTTTATTTCTAAGTCTTTCCATCCTGGTCACTCCAAACAAAAATAAAACTTGGATAATATTTAGTATTTATGAATAAATGTTAAGTGTTTTTCACACGTAGACTTTGGTGGGCTGCCCAGAGGGATGAAGAAAGTTTACCTATAAACCCCGAGTCAGAGATGAGGGGTGTCACAAGGGCAGTTATCGACTTTCTCTGCTAAACCAGACTTTGTCCTTGAGGCTCTGCGTGCGCTCTCATATAAAGGGGCCTTTCACACATTATAGGAGTATTCTTCCACACAAAATGATCTGTTATGAGTCCAGCATGTTCCAAGCTAGCACACCACTCAGGTGTGTTTTGAGATTTATTTTTATTGTTTTATCAATTTCAGACAGCATCTCAGTCAGTTCACTATCACATATTCCCATATGCTCTTATTTTGAAAGTTGATTCACTATTGACAAACTTGCATCGGCCCTTCCTGTCTCCCGTTTTTCCAACAATAGGCTGATCAGAGTGCTTTTGCTGTGACTGCCAGACTCTGATCCTGTGGTCAGACTGACTTTGACTTCACCGTCTTGGGTGATGTTAGTCCTTGTTCTGCTCTTTGAGATGGAGCTGCTCTCTAACCAGGATGTGATGCAGGTGGAGGATTGTTTCATGAGCTGCCACGCCGAGCAGAATGAGGACGCCAGTCACAAACCAATATTTACTGTCAGGAAATACTGTGTATATGGTATTGATTTATTGATATATCTAAGAAAGACTTTTTATGCCTTCATTCTGTAGTATTTTATCTGTTTGCTGCGTATGTAATACATTTTTCTCCTTTCAGGCGGCTTCCAAGCAGTCGACCGTTCAAAGCGGAGGTGCAGGAAAAGCATCATCATCCTCGGTCATGGCCGGAAACAAAAACTGGGATGGCGCCGGTGGGATGGACCAGATAACAGTCGTGAGAATAGACGACACTCACATCGCTGAAGAGGAGTCGCACGTCGACGGGAAGGTGTTCTACGAGGTGGAGTGCTCGCTGCCTGCGGAGGACGAGGTCGTGGGAGAGGATGACGATGACGGCGTCTACGTCATCGAGTATTCAAACCCTGAAGAGGAGGGGGAGAGTTACCAGTTCACGATGTCCGTAGATCGGTCGCTCCCAGCGAAAGAGCCAATTGTTAAAACTCCGGTGGTCAGCGAGAACCCCGGAGCTCTGCTGCCGTCCAGACCGGCGAGGTTGCGACCTCAGGTGAGCCAGAAGAGGAGGTTGGTAACCGAGGAAGAGGAGATCAAAAGCGAAGAGTTCACGGTGAGCAATAAGAGCGTGCTGGCACTGGGAGAGGATTACAGCGACGTGATGGAGATGAACTCGGGCTCAGGTAAGAAACTGGTGTGCACGATGTGCCCGCCGCCCGGCAAGCTTTTCAAGAGGGCGTCTGGGCTGGCGGTGCATTTAAAGCAGATGCACCACATGGAGGGGAAGAAGACGTTCTTCTGCAACTCCTGCCAGCAGTCACTCCGCACTCAGATCGAGCTGGACGCGCACACGAGGCGCCACGCCAACCAGGACGCTGTGTTCGTCTGCCGCCTCTGCGCAGCCGAGGAGGAAGCCGGCACGGAGGAGAAGAAGGGGTTCAAAGGGTCCAGGTGGGGCCTGAAGAAGCACCTGGAGAAGGAGCATCCAGGTGTTATCCCGCGCTGTGACATCTGCAACAAAGGCTTCAAGACGCTCGTGTCGTACCTCGCCGACCAGTTCCGGCACGTCGGGGTGTCGCCGTACTACTGCGCCAAGTGTCAGATCTACGAAATGACTGAGCGCGGTCTGAGCGTGCACATCAGAAACCACAACAAGAAGAAGATGACTGAGCAGAAGGCTAATGAAAGCCGCCTGCAGACTTTTGAAGTCTCCGCCGGTGCTGATAACTCGGCGACAGACGACTCCGACTTCTGACGCTCCAGACTCACCGTTTAGCTTCGTGTTCGAGTGAAGCGGCTCACAGACGTCAGGGTCAAATCCCACATTTTATGCATCTGAACTGAAGTTTGGGCAGAAAAACTTTTCCCCTAACAGTTAGAAAACCTTTTTTGTGTGTGTGCAGTTAATGACCAAACATGTTACTGTTTAAGTAGAAGTGTCTAAGAATTATTTGAATTCCCTTCCTTTATTTTCAATTAGGGATAATCGTAGTTGATGAAACGGGACAAAAAACTTGTCTCAAAGAAAAACGTCCAGGAAACGGTCAGAATCAGCACAGGCGTCCATATAATAGAGGTGGGAATCACCATACATCCCACGATACGATATTATCACAATACTTAACGCACGATAC